CTTAGGAGCCTAAATCCCATTAACTTTCTATGACATTCAGTTAAACGCCTGTGTCACTTTTGAAAACAGAACTTGGAGTAAAATTTTCAAAAACACCAAAGTCTATACCATGATTTCCTCTTTTAAAGATCAGTACATAGATCTTAAGTGCGATGGCACTGTTCAATCCTTGTAACTAGTGTTTTATCAGGTTACAATACTCCATTTGATCTTATTATATATACTTTTTCTTATGTCGCTGCTGCAGAACCATCTCTAAGAACACAATTCCTGCATATTCTGCCTATTTTTGGTAGACCTGCCCAGAAGGCTCAATATTTTTGTTAGTACTGGTTCAGAATGATCATCTCCACGTCTCCCACCCAAAGAGGAAAGTGAATTAAAAGAACAGATTCTAAGCACTGAAACGAACATTTGGGGAAATGGTTTTGATACATATGTACACAACGTTCACTTTAGCATCCAATTGAGAGGTTTTTAAACACTATGCAATTTGAATAGCTTTACTAAGCATTGTGCAGGAGGTCAGACTAGATGATCATAATGGTCCCTTCTGACCTTAAAGCCTATGATTCTATGATAAAAAGTATAATTTTTGAAGTTATTTGTGCTCAAGGGTAAGAAATATCACACTAAAAAGCAAATATTTATGTGGCTAATAAATAAAATGTTATCCACTGTAGACAAGTTCCCCTTCTAGCAAGGAACAGTATTCATGCAAAGTGCAAGTTATCTGAAGAGATTAAGCAGGAAAAAGGTAACAATTTCCAAACTAAATTAGAACAAAACTCAACGACTGAAAATTGTATAGAATTTATATAGTGATATATTTATATAGTGATATAAAGGCAGACTTCTGTGAGCACCAACCTTTAGACATTAAGAAACCAGAACCCTAAACAGTATAAAAAATGGGATTTAAGGGTAACTCTCGCTGCATTACAGGTAACACTAATTACTGAAGTAAATCCTTAGACAACCCTTGCAAAAGGTCGTCCATTAAGCCGGGGAGCAAGCAGATTCCTAATTTTGTAAATTCAATATTACCTCTTTGAGGAAGCAGACCAAATCAGCCTTTCAAAGACTTAAAACAGCTTAAATCAGAAAATGTTGTTTGGCTTATATTTTTGTCAGTTAAAAATAAAACTGAGAAACACTGACTAATAACTGAATCAAATGCCATTAGCAGAGCATATTAAAAAATAGCAATCAAACTCTTTTCAAAAGAAGTGCTCTTTCCAAAATTAATCAAACATATTGAAAATCAAAGTTTAAGAGTGAAAAAATAATTAGAGATATGGAAAGTAACCTAGTGAATGAAGATAGCCTAATATAAGATCCTTGCATGAAGGGTTCCAATTCTGGTAATTATTACACTTACCATTTAGGTCCTTCTTTAAAACTGAACAGTGAAAAGGATAGGATATAAGTGAAGGAAGCTTATATTTTCAAAGCTTTTAAGAAACAAAAACAAGTATTAGAAACAATTACTAATTTCTTTCCATATACAAAAATGATATTAGAGTGTATGATCTTCTAAAGATTAAAGCAACATGCCATAATTACAGTTTGCTGGCAAAGATTGGATACAGTGAAAACCATCCATGAATATATTCATATTATAGAAATTATTGTTTCATCCACAATCAAAGTTTGAGGCTTTGAATACAGACGTAAACATTCTCAATATTGATAAAATGGCAGTATAATGCAAAGACAAATTAGCAGATCAAATCTTCTTACAATCAACAAGTCTGAGTTAGAAACTGATCACTTAAAGGGAATATGATCATAGAAAAAAAACCTATTCATTAATCTGATGGCAGAAATTCAGATTCACCCCTTCACGATATCCTGAAATTAGCTGTTCATCTTTCCGGTTTATTCCAAAACCAGATGTTTTTAATAAAGAAGCTCTTGTTCACATTTTAAAATTACTGTTATTTATAGTTATCTACAGATGTGCTGTAATGTACATATATGAAATTGGTTTCATCTGCTATATTCAAAAGTAAAAGTTGTGTAAGTATAATATGGATTCCTTCCATTAGAAACCACTGTTAGAGAAAAAGTTCCATAATCATGTAAATTACTGTATTTTAATTTTTGCACAGCTTTAAAAATGCTTTTGGAATGAAAGCCACCTTATCACTACAATACTAGAATCACTAAACGTGACCTGAAAACCATGAGATAGTTAAATAGTAGTATTTGGAATCTGCCACTTCAAGTTCACATGACATATCCCAATTTAAAATAAATTTACGTGCAACCATTTTTGTGTAACTCATACCAGTTGTAGTAGCGTCATACTGTATGACTATTACAAAATATACATACAATTTCCTGCAGCAGCACTGTTTCAGGTGATCACAAATTACTCAGAGTGGCACTCAATGGAACAGTTACCCAAGTTTCTTCAAAAAGAACTTACAGTAAGTACACCACCGCTTTGCTCCCCCAAAAAGGCATCCTGACCACTTCAATGTGTGAAACAGCATAAATTAAAATACTTTCCACTTAAGCCATCCCTTTCTCTTCTCATGCTACATTCTGGTATATGTTCAGGACATCAGTTTTAACAGAGGGTCAAATTTCAGTGAAATGACAGGATCTGAGGTTCATATTCATACAGCCTTAAAGATAATGATAGGTAAAACACATGCTGTATGTAACAGATTATATGCTATGGGTCCTTTAGACACTAATGTGAACTAGAGTCAAATTTGGCATTACAAGTACAGTCTCAAGATCCGTTTAAATATTATCCGTTTAAATAAATATCCGATTAAAATATTTAATCCCTTTATTTAAATATAATTTTGTAAGTTTTATAATACATAAATCCTATATAACCCTACGTTAAAAACTACACACGAAGGGGCAATAGCAATATTTTAACCTTCAGACTTCTGAAATCTCCTTTTCTTCTATCACTTCCCTCACCCAAAAGAAAAAACATGCACAATGCATACACATTTTCTTTTTCACAATGCAAGCATGTATAGAAATGAAGGAAAAAATCTGAAATATTTTTTGCAACAAGCTTTTTAGAGATGTGTAATCAAATATAGATCTGACCAAAACCTCTAATAGCACTTGGCAGAAAACTATAACCTATGCCTTTTTTAGCTCCATTCCTAACACCACCACCCCCTAAAAAAAAAAAAAAGGGGGGGGTGAAAAAAGGGGGTTCTGCTTGGAATAGCAAACATGGTTTTGTATAGTTTTGCTAAAGAACTTCCTGGGATGTCTCAGAACATGCATGTTGGGTTCTCTTCAAGCTTAATAGTTAGTGTGATGGTGCTGAATATTTAACAATGATATTCTTTCTCCAAAATATGAAATCATTGAGGAACATGGTAAAAACAACCCAAAAGCTAAGGCCTTGTCTATACATAAATTGTACTGCTTTAAATATATTGGATATTTAAAGTGGCACAAGTCCCATAATGCAGACGCAGATATATCGGCATAAAGATGGCTTATACATGCATATCTTATACCCCTTCCCAAAGACGATAGCTATAACTTAACATTACAACTGTGTCCACAAGAGGTGTTGTACTGATTTAAGTATTTCTGTAGAAAAGTCACCCCTCCCGCAACTGAAAGATCAGTATAATAATTGTCCATAGACCAGGCCTAAGAGTCTAAAATTCTCCCTCTCTCATGATGTCATCATTTCACTAGAGCTCCAGACATCAGTATCTTCCAAATGTGATGGAGCATAAAAACTCCACACTGGGCCAAAAGGGGTTAAAAGACAGGACTGGGCCCAGGTTTCCACGCCCCTCCAGAGCATGCTCCAACTAGAGAAAGGATTGAAAAGGGAACAACCCAGCTCAGGAGGGAGGTAGACAGACCTACCCTGAAGGCTCCTGACAAAGGAGCTGGAGAAGACTCCCAGAGGAAATAAGACTGTGTGCAGAGCCCTGTTGAGGGCTGATAGTTTGGTTGCCTTTTCTTTTCACTTTATATTGGACTTGGGGCGGTGGGGGGAAGCAGACAGTAACTTGGAGGGCGCTTTTGTGGGTCACATGGTGTTGACCCTCCTAGGGCCCCTAGGTTGGAGCCTGATTGAGTGGGCAGGCCCAGGCCCCACACCATTGCCTCTACTACAGGAGAAATCCAAGCCATCTGCCCACCTCACAGCACCTCTAATTAAAAGAGGGCCTGAACTGTAAGACCTACCCACTGGGTGGTGACACTAGCGCTCTAACAACTAGGCCACCTAACCCCGTTCATGAAGAGGAATATATGCCCATTTTTTCTTTGCAGGTGATATTTAGGCTTAATTTTAAAAAGATTCTCCTTTTTTCACCCACATTGATAGAATCAAGATGGGCTGTATGTTAGGATTTGTCTACAGACAACCTTGTACCAATTTAGTTAAAACTATGCAAGCCACTGTGTAAATACTCTTATTTCTGTTTAAAAGTGGCTTATTTTCCCTAACAGACTTAATCTAAACCAAAATATACCACTCAAACTAAAATAAGTGTTTACACAGGGGTTTGCACCACTTTAACTCAAGTGATATAAAATTAATGCCTTTAATAAAACCAGTGCAACTCTCCATGTAGACATGGCCTTAGCTATTATCTGCATTTCCATTCAGAAGCGAAACACTGTTGTCTGACCTTGGAAAAAAAGTGGTAGTGTGTTTAGATTGCGGGATTATACAGGAGATAATACTTCCTGAATGTACAAAATATATGAATATCTAAAAACCTTCGCTTAGTTAAAATTTTGAATAACTGACCTGGAGGAATAAGAGCACTGTCAATACGAACCCTAGGCAAAATCATGGGGGATAAAATGAGACCATACTATTGATCACTGTGGTCTCTTTGCTACAGAAATAAGAGCATACACATGAAAGTAGTACAAGTAGCCAGGAGAGGAAGTCATTTCAATATGATCATTCTTGAAAATACAGAAAAAAAACTAAAGGTTCTTCTGCACTTCAGGTTTTAATCAAATAGAATTCTACTTACATTGTCCAAGAAATTTGGTTTAAATCCTCCTTCCTGCTGTCGTCTCAGTTCTTCCTGTTCTCTCTGGCGTAGCATCTCTTCTTCACGACGTCGATGTTCTTCTTCATGTCTAAAATTATTCATAAACTTGTGTAAATTATGTTCATGACCTCTTCATACATGAGTTTCAATAGACTTTCAGGGCTAAAGTGAATGAATTTCAAGTTAATTAAAAACAACTTCTTATAGCTTAAATCATTATATAGCATCATAACATTTTACTACTAGTCCTCCACTCCACCTTTTGGGCTTTGACATTTCACTGAAGTATTTTGGCACACACCTGATATATACCTAACAGCATTATAGGTTTCAGAGGAACAGCCGTGTTAGTCTGTATTCGCAAAAAGAAAAGGAGTACTTGGGTTAGTCTCTAAGGTGCCACAAGTACTCCTTTTCTTTTTAGCATTATAGGTGTGTGCTCTGCTTGCCATGGTTATGATAGTTTAAGCCTGGGTAACTGAAAACATGATGGTACTGTCAACAGTGAAAACTGAGAAAAAAAATGGGTTTGGGGGGGGAAGATGGGGAGCTCAGTTTTTACCAAGTTCAGATTTATAAATACAGAACAGTCTCTGCTGAAAGAATTTCAATTATTTCCAATAGCGATTTAGAATCCTAAAGGATTTTTTTTAACAACATTAAAAACTACAATTTATCAATAACTCCTGCAATTTGTTTTTTGCATTCTGGTACATATTTCACTACAGTAAATTACTTTGAAATGCAAACATAAGCAATAGGAGCATCAGAAAACAGTTCTTCCAAAAGGCATTGGTAAACTCAATTCAAGTAACTACTTCTCCAATTTTATTTAATCTTAGCACATTAATAAAATATCATCCACGTTTGTAAAAACAGATCTTAAAAAAGAATGTTTACTTTAGTATTCAGAGACAGATGTCAGAGCACAGAGGTGCATATGAGAAAGTTATAACTGGGTAATTATTGCAGAAAAATCTATCAAATTAAAGACTGCATCATTTTGTATTATCATTTTAATCTAACTGAAGAACAGTGCCCCAAAATGAGTCAAATTCAACTTCATATCTGACTACAAATGCACCTCTTATATAATCTTAAAAGAAATTGGCACAAGGAATGTAGAAAACAAATTAATATAATCCTACGCTATTTAATCTGAGCGCAGCTGACCATAAGAAATAATAAAACCCACAGAATTATTCAACATACTACTTTCTAATTGGTGTAAGCCCTCTGTTTCATATTCTGTTTATTTTTAAGTATATCTGGATTGAAATGTCATATTTATATTCTTCTGCACCTGCAGAGAAGCATTATTCTAGCATTCTTTTTAAAACACTGCTTGAACTAGATTTCATAATCAGTCCCTATAAACTAAAATACCTACCTTCATTCACTTAGACCTAAAATATCAGTTATATATTTAGAATGTCTAGCACATGGCTGGATCAATACCAAATAAAACAAAATACCTCAATTGTATTTGCTTGCGTTTCTGTAACTCTTGATTTCTAAGTTCTTCCAAACGTCTCAGTTCTTCCTGGCGCCTCATGAGATCTGCAAAAAGTTAAATATTATACAAGGCCCTCAATTATTCTTTTGACTTCAGTGGTTGCAAGTGTTCCAGTGTCAGTAGTGGAATGCACATTGCAAAATGTTCACTACCCAGGGTGGATAAAAATCAATGATTTTAAAAAAGAATAAAAATCAGATTTTTTTTAATTTAAATTAGATAGATTTTTTTCCTCAAAAAGCATTTTATCTAAAGATAGTTTTAATTAAGATACGTTATAGCTCAAAGATATTCTCATCATGGAATAGGGATTATAAATTCTAATTTTATAGTAGGAGACAACATATTCACGTAATGTTTAAGAAGTTTTGTAAATGAGTTCCAGTAGTTCATGGATTAGGAACCCAATCTTATGGTGTTCCAAGGGCTTCTGTATAGATTAGTTAGGTTAATCTTTCTATCTATCCAATGGGACTCAGTGCTCAGTTAGAAGATACCAACAGAGATGCTTAGTTTTGCAGTTCTCAAACTGTGGATTTGTATCTCCAGAGCTAACATGCTTGTTAGAGCAAAAATGTTTGTTTATACATACATACACACACAGGTGAGAAATAACAGACCTCAACCCTATTGTCCCTCTGCAAATTTGTGTACACAGAGTCAATCCCTCCCCTCTCTCTAAAACTGCAAAGTTTCATAAAGTTCAATACTAGAAAATTGTTGGGGTGGAATAGATCTGGACAAGGAGAAGAAGTCTGAAGATAAATGTGAGAAGGGAGGGACAGGCAGCAGAAATGAAAGTGAAACTGTTTGAGCAGCAAATTTCAGAAGCCTTGAGGTCTTTCTGAGTGTAGCCTTCATTGATTTGAGATCTATCATACCATTCTCTCACTAGAAGGGAAAACCTATAATGGCAACAGGCTGTAAAAGAATACGAGAATAAAAACCATTCAAGAAATATATGTTTGCTGATGATGTTTTAAAGAAAGTCACACCAGTGAATTGGTAGAAGTCACATAAACACTTGGATTCAGAGACCGTTGAAGTGATAATCTCACTTTTAACAGCAGTAGCTTCTTCTGCCAGTATAGAAAGAATATTTTCTTCCTTTGGACTAATTCATTCCAAATTGGGAAACTGTTTGGGACCTGAAAAAGTAGGAAAACTTGTTTTTCTTTTCCAGATTATGAACAAACAGGAAAATAAAGGTGAAGACGACTGAGTTAGCTGCAGAAGCCAATATTTTAAGTCTCTCATGTTGACCCAGCTGATTGTCGATTTAATATTTCATTTAACTGTTTTAGTTAAAACAATTTTAACAAAAACAAACTTGATTTTTAAAAACTTGAATATTTAACTAAATTCAAAAATTCATATGCTTGTTTTGATTAAATTGAGTCTTCCTGACTACTGATTTAAATCAATTTGATTTAAATCAAATCCACCCTGTCACCACCATTACAAAGTGATTTTATTTTTAAATTAGAAAATTACCATTCTATTACTTAGTCTGAATGTGATTAAGGAACGAGCTACTAACTCATATCAAAATGGTCAATGCATTTAACTAATGTAATTTACCCTTAGGGCCACATAGGATACTGGACTAAATGGACCATTTTTCAGAGTAGCAGCCGTGTTAGTCTGTATCCATAAAAAGAAAAGGAGTACTTGTGGCACCTTAGAGACTATTTATTATGTCTATATATATTACGGTCTCTACGTTAGTCTCTACGGTGCCACACGTACTCCTTTTCTTTTTAAATGGACCATGGGTCTTATCTAATACAGCAATTCCTGTCTCCAGCAGTAGCCAGCATTAGATGTTTCAAAGGAATGTACAAGAACCTCCAAAACAGGAAGAAACAGGTAAAGTAATTGCCCCTCAATGAAGAGCTCATCTTAATCCCGAACAGAGAATAATTTAAAACCTGGTTTGATCTCCCTTACAGTACTCTTTTAGTTCATCATCATCATGTTTCCCATTAACTACAAAACTCTGGATTCTCTTGTTCATATAAGCATCCAGACCTTATCTAATACAAAGAAGTCCTTGGACTCAACAACATCCTGTGGCAATGAGTTCCATGGTCTGATTACACACAGTGTGAAAAATCATTCCCTTTTATCGGTTTTGAATTTGCAACTTTCAATTTCACTGAACGTCCCCTTGCCTTCTTCTTGTGCTATGAGAGAATGTAAGCTCTTGATCTACCTTATCTACACCATTCATTAATTTATATACTTTCAACATATTTCCTCTAAACAATCCGCCTTTTCAATCCCTCTTCATGTGAGTTTTTCCATGCCCCTAATCATTCTCAATTCACTTCTCAGAACTCATTTTAATTCTGCAACATTAATTTGAGATGAGGTGACCAGTACTTCATGCAATATTTCAGATGAGGCCTCACCATGAATTTATATAATAAGATATTTTTCTCATATTTCCTATTCCTTTTCTTATGTATCTGTTTGCTTTTTGACTACAGCTGTACACTAAGCAGAGGTCTTCACTGAGCTGCCAACGTGATGCCCAGATCCTTTTCCCGACACAATACAGTTAATTTAGAACACTGTAAAGTGTATGAGTAGTTAAAATTTTCCTTCCAACGTGCATTACTTTGCACTTACCAACTTTGAATTTCTTCTGCCATCTCATGGCCTATTTACCTAACTTGGTTAAATCCCTATGATGTTCCTTGAAGTCCTCTCTGGACATGAATAACCTAAATAACTTGCAATCTGCACAATGTTACCTCACTGCTCACACACTTCCCAGACTGTTAATATATTTAATATCAGACTTAACACAGCTCCTTCAAACTCTTGGACTTTTACCATTTGAGAACTGTTGCCTAAGCATGGAAGGTGGAAGCTGAAACCACAACTCAGGTAGCTTGTTAGAACTCTCAAATGTACTTGATCAACTTTTTAAAAAACATCCTCATCAAGCATATCAGTAATCCAAAATTGAGCTAGAACTTGTAAGACTGAGGTTCAAGTGGATATTCTTACTCCAGTCTGAAAATGAAGGTCCAGTAAACTGGAAAGTGGTGCTCACATCAGACCTACGACATCTGAAGACAAAGCTGCCAAAACCCATTTTGGGCTTGGCTCAGTCTCAGCTGATCTTCCAAACCAGCAGAATCAGACAGAATGTGTAGAAGAATTCCCAATTCCAGTTCAAGAAAGGACTCCACAAAAAAAACACTGGGGCTTGTTTGACCCAGAAGCAGAACAAGAGATAACGGATGTTAGCCTTAGTAGTAAGGTGTGACAATCAGGGTCCATCCACCCCACTGGAAGAACGGTGGATCTGAACCCCAAAGAATAAGCAATCGAATTAAGAGCATCAAGTAAGGTCTTTTATGAAAGCTAGCGACATGCTGGTCATGAATAGTGTGTAATTTATGTACAGGTGCTTGTACAACGAGTTACAGGTGTGCGTTAGGAACATATTTCCTAAGATATTTTATCTTAACACATCATACAAGAACTGGATGATCTTGAAAACTGAAGTAACAGAAATGGGATGAAATGGGATTTAATCGTGCAAGGTCATGCACTTAGAGACTAACAACAAGAAATTTTTTTGCTATTAACTGGGAACGTATCAACTGGAAGCGACGAGGAGAAAGACCTGAGTGTATTGGTTGATCACAGGATAACTATGAGCTGCCAACGTGGCTATGAAAAAGAATAATGTAATCCTAGGATGCATTAGGCAGGATATTTGCAGTAGAGATAGGGAAGTGTTACTACCATTATTCAAGGCACTGGTGACACCTCATCTGGAATAGTGTGTGCAGTTCTGGTCTCCAGATGATGAATTCAAAATTGGAACAGGTACAGAAAAGGACTACTAGAATCAGAGGAATGATTTTCATCTCATAATGTAGGCTTTCCAAAGAGGTTGGCTTCTTTAACCTAACCAAATGAAGGCTATGGGAAATATGACTGCTCTCTATAAATACATCAAAAGTATAAATACCAGGGAGTGGGAGGAGTTATTTAAGTTAAGCGCCAAAGCTGACAAAAGAACAAATGGATATAAACTGGCCATCAACACATTCAGGCTTGAAATTAGATGAAGGTTTCTAACCATCAGAGTGAAGTTCTGAAACAGCCTTCCAAGACAAGCAGTGGGGGGCAAAAAACCTAACTGGCTTAAAGACAGAGCTTTATAAGTTTATGGAGGGGATGGTATGATGAGACTGCCTACAATGATATACAGCCGATCTGCGACTTCTAGTAGCAAATATCCCTAATGACCAGTCATGGGACGCTAAACGGAGAGGGCTCTGAGTTATTACAGAATTCTTTCTGGGAGTCTGACTGTTGGATCTTGCCAAAATGCTCAGGATCCAACTGACTTGCCATATTTGAGGTTAGGAAGGGATTTTCCCCCAGGTCAGACTGGCAGAGACCCCGGTTTGTTGCTTTTTTTCCCCCCTACTCTGTCACATGGGGCACAGGTCACTTGCAAGTTTAAACTAGTGCAAAGGGTGCATTCTCAGTAACGTAAATCATGATTTGTGGACTTCAGTAACTCAGACAGAGGTTATGAGTCTTATTACAGGAGTGGGAGGGAGAGATTCTGTGGCATGCAACGTACACGAGATCAGAATAGATGATCATGGTGGTCCTTTCTGGCCTTAAAGTCAATGAGATATGTTGTTGAGAGAGTTGATAAACCAGCCTGCCTTAGACAAAGGAATGTGGATTTGCCTGACTGGGTCAAGCTTTGTAAGCCAGGGGACAATGAAGGTTTCAGAGCATGTAGGTGTTTCAAAGCTTAAGCCTAGGCAACTAATATGTCCCCTCTGTCACAATTGTGTGTCTTTTCTTCATGTTTACTTTTAACAAGTGATCATTCCATGACCATATAATTTCCCTTCTCTTGGAGGTTCAAATCCCTTAAGTGTTGATACAGACTTTCAGCCTAAACAGTAACAGGTAAACAGAATAAAACCACATGATGCTTAGTGTAGTGGTCTTTTGGATAAGAACTTGAAAATCCAGCTATTATCTCCCCAATGTGGATCAGAAGATCCCACAAAACTTTTTGTAGGGCTTACCCAGATACACTTGGCCAGTTTCCCCTACTTCCACTGTTGTGCATTGTGCCAGTGGTCTGCCACTATCCAACAGGTTTCAGTGCTGTACGTGTCTGGTTTGTTAAAAGCGTTTGGATCCTTTGTAATGAAACATGCTATTGTGTTATTTACTCAGAAGTCTGACAGTCCTTCCAACTGTGCAGAAAAAAAAACTAAAAATCAAGAAGGTGAGGATGGAATACTCCTTGAATCACCAGGTTCCTAAGTTGGGCATCAAAGCAAAAGGCTTTCAGCTATTAAAACTATAAAATTATCTCCCTCAACACTCATATGTATAAGAAATGGAAAATAATAGAGCAGCACCAGTCACACAATTTCTCTATACACAGTGTGCAAAATCTAATTTATTTCAGCCCAGGATCACAATCAACATTAAACTAAAAAATCCTTCCTACTGAATTTGTGAAGCTACCCAGCCTCTCCACACACAGTATTTAGATGTAAGTGGAGTTAATTTTACATATGATTATATTGTACTCTGAAAATAAAAGATGAGTAGACTTGATTTTGGTTCAAATGAAAAACTGTTTCCCACCTCTAAGTATTTTCTGAAAAAGCCAAGAAATATTTAGTCTAACAAAATCTCATTTACATGTGTCACACACAACTGAGATTCATCCCTCAATATGTTATGCAAAGGAACCTTTTTTGAGAAACAGGTTTTTTTTATAGTTGGCGGAGTATCTGATTTTTACCTTGCCTCATCAGCATTAACTGATGTTCATGTCTAGCTGCTTCCATTTCCGCTTCTAGTTTCTCTTTGGCTTCTCTAATGTTCCTGTCAACCTGTTCTCGCTGCTGCTTTTCCATCTCATCAAGAGCCTTCCATCGGGAAGCATACTCAAATTCAAATGTTCCAGGTTGAGCAAAACGTGGAGGCTGCTCTCTTTCCCTAATAAAAATGCACACAGTTAAAATGTACGGAAATTTATTTATAAAGTAGCTGCAGTAGCAAAATATATTCCTAATCAAACATTCTGATTTAATTTCTAACTTTAAATCAAGTTGCCAATTTCTGTAATTTAAATTAGCAGCTCATTTTCAGAACTCAGTCCCAAAACTTTATGGCAGGACTCTGCAGTAAGATTACTCTGCATGACCAGAGAAATAGTCCAAATCAAACCCCATGTAAATTTATTCGTTTTTAAGGAAGACTTGTTTTGCATTATATTGAAAATTTCTGATGCTTTAGCAGAAGACTATGCAACTAAACTAATAATTATCAGGCTACTAAGAAAGTGGCTTATAAACATGATTTTTTTTAACACCAATGTTTGAAAAAGTGTCATGGCTTGCTGTATTAACATATTACTCAAAGCCTTCAAAAACTAAAGCCCATCAAAATTTTAGTTCACGATACCCTTTTCAAATACTTGTTCTATTGTAATAATTCATTAAAGAGCAATGAACCAAAATATTTATCTCATACATTATTTTAAAAAATCATTCTATTTTTGCTTGTCATCTGAGTAAGCATTTTGGCTCCAGCAATCAGGATTTCTTGGGGAGAGTCTCAAATTTCAACACTAAAATTAAAAGAACTTTGGTTTCTCCTGACACTCAAGACTTACACAGTTTACTTTATTGCAACCATCACTGCGGTATTTGAAGCCCTGATCCTGCAGGAACACTGATGTACAGAGTCAATGAGACTGCTCAGAGTAAAAATAAACATGTGCACAAATCTTTTCAGGATCAGGGACTGAGTGCCTATTATCTGAGTTTGCACTTCATAATCAGGAAAGCCTAACAATTGTATATATATTTAAAAACAAAAAAAATCTGTTTATTAGACAAACAGCACTCTCTTTCCCATCCTCACTCTACACATGAAGGTAAAATTTAATAAACTTTTGTTCATCAAGCTAACCTAATAATGTTTAAGGAAATCTGAATCTAAATCCAACTTACTTATGATACTGTTGTGTTTTTTGCATTAATTTCTCTGGTAGCCCATCTTCATCATCAAATTGTTCCATAGGTTCTACAACAACAGGTCGAGGTGTTCTGAAAGAAATATTAAAGGTTTTCTGTGTTAATATTTTAATTCATTAAACAAACCAAGGAAATCCACATTGAAACAAGTTATATTTTGTAATATTGTTGGGAAACATTCTAAAAAATGACTTCTTAGGGTCTGTTAGGTACAACTCCTTCACATTTAATGAAATTTTAAAAAAGCACTGTCTTAGTGAATAAATTTGTCTTACACATAAGCCAACTTTATCTAGAAAACACTACTGCCCTTCTGATGGAAAAATAAACTGAGCAATTTAAAAAATGAAAAAAAAAATTAAAAATAACTGTTTACAGGCAACTAAACTCTTTAGTGCAGGAATCATGTTTTTATTATGCATTTGTACAAATGTAGAAAAATGGGTCTGGGTCCATGAGAGGGGCTCCTAGAAGCTATCACAATACAAACAAACAGCAGCTTTGTTCAGATATACAAGAAATACAGAGATGCTTTTGAAAGTTACCTGCACAATTAAAAATAGAATTGATAAGTGGACATCAGAGTTCCCACTACAATTAAAAAATAATTTCAGCATAACTGACTTTTTAAATGTCCTGTTCTGTAAAGTGCCATATTCTTAGAAATCAACATCTTCCCTTCATGAGCTATACACATCAGAGTATCAAACACAAACAAGCTACAAATTACAGAGATTTGCTTTTGTGGGAAAGCCAATTCATTACTTTCCCAACATCGTCAGTTCTAGACTTTTTAATATTGTTATTTTACGAACAGTAAAGCGGCTTCAAATAATGAAAACCTTACAGGACTGCACAATACTATTCAAAGTAATAGGATGGCATAGCCATTACAACATAGGGCATACTCATGTTCAACTTATGCAGAGAATCAAATGCTAATGGAAGAAAGAACAGATTTCATGAAAAAAGAATAAATTAAACCATGAGTACCTGATTCTGCCACCCTTACTGAAATTAAGTAACCTTGCTTCATGAGCAGGACTATTGATTTCAATGGAAATAGTGGCAGAGCAAGATAGAAACACAAGGGTGGCAAAATCTGGCCCTCAATGGTCTGAAAAGCCCCCTCAATCCCTGATTATTAAGGGCATTCAACACATAATAGAAGAGTTTTTCAATACAATTGCATAAACCAATCTGGGTGAGTAAAATATGTGAAAAATCTCATCCCATTATATAGATCTTCACAAAGAACCCAAAAAGCTACATAAATTAGAGTGTAACAAATTGTTTCATTGTATGATAGTTTTCTGGAATACTAAAACTTGTAATGTAAAGTTCTGGTAGCCACACTGTTCTTTCCATGGCTCTTCTTTCCCTGTCCTATATCTTTGTAGCACAGCAGTTTCCACAAAAGTATATTTACAAAACAGTTGCATAATGATTCCATTATCAGTTACATCTTGTAACGAGTGCCATATGTAATGTGCCTGCAACACAATGTAGCAGCCACAACAGGGACCTACTAAATATGCCTGTAATTTAGTCCATTAGGGAATATTTTGGATTTTTAATTCAGGCCAAAATCATGTGTTTTTATTCACTCAAACATTATGTCACTCACCTAAATGAGAAAAGTTATAGATAACTGCACAATACATTTTTTCCTAAGCAGTTGCAATTTCAACCATATTCAGCAAAGCAGCATAAAACTGCTAATGGCAAATGCATGTAGGCAAGCAGTCACACCACCGATAGTCCTCTGCCATTATGGCAAAGTGTGGAGAGGCAGAATTACAGAAGTATGAAGGAAGAGATTAAAAAAAGGTGATGAGGTGCTATCAATAATAGCAAGACCTGAAAAATTTACATGCCCAGTTAGTAGGAAACCATACAGTTGTTAACATAACCGTCAAAATATGAACAGATGCAGGGTCATGTTCCTCCTAAGTCTGCAAATAGAAAACTTCAGCGCTTCTTCTTATAGTTTTGCCAAGATACTGCAAAGTAAACACCAACTAGAGTCTTGTCAGTTTTCACTACTGTTATTGGAAACTTCATGGTCAAGAAAGAAACCAAAAACAATCTAATTACCTTTGGAGAATTCTGAATAGGTATGGAGAAAGTAAAAGTTACTGGAAAATAATTAAAGAACCTACAAAGAAAATAACACCTACCAATGAACATACTGTATTTACATATAACCAAATAAATCTCATGGCTATAGATATAGTTCATAACTAGCTGGGATTCAGAAAAAAATTCTTGAGCAAAGTAAGATGCTTGGTGTGAATACTCAAAACAACCTTCCAGCTGACATCTATTTCACAGCAAATCTGGTGTCCAAGTTCTGAGAACACAATAAAAGGTCTGACCATGCTCTTGGTTGCAGTTTTCTATACATTATAAAACTCTCACCCACAAATCTGACCAGAAAAAAAAAACCTGTAACTTACGTTGTTAGTAAGAATGCCCCATCACTGCATCTCTCTAGAGCCTTCCTTGCCGGAGGTTTTGCTGCAAACTCTACAAAACCTTTTCCTGTAGCTCTGCCACGGTCATCTACTACAACAACAGCCCTCTCCACTGGACCAAATTGAGAAAAAGCTTGTTCCAGAAGCTCATTGGAAACCACAGGTGAAAGATTCTTGACTGTTAAGGCAGCTCCATGTGTAGCAAATCGAATTCGAAGTGGTCTACTCTTCAAAATAGTACCATCAAGTTCTGTCTTTGCTATTTCAGCCAGTGTTCTAGATTCCTTTCCAAGAGGGGAAAAAAAACATTTTATATGAATCCATTCTATACTTGCCTCAAGGATACTGAGTCAATTTATTAGTTTTCAGCTATTTTACCATTACTTAAAACATTCTTTTAAAGTTATGAGCATATTAAAATTAAGGGGGGGATTGGTCAACATTCAAAGTATCCTCTTCCCAAAGCAAGAGCTTTTCAGATTCCGTTTGTTCAATGATTTCAGCAATCTGCATTTGTTTTTCCATACAATTTGTTCTAATACGTCGTACTTTAAATCCATTAGTTTTGCTCGCATGTGCTAGAGGATGATTCCCCAAACACTCCTACAGCAGAAAAGTACGCAATTCTTTATATGGACAGTCAAAGTGAGTTCAGAACTTTCACACAACTTTTTTTCATAGGGACATATATATTAATTTCGTTTCTGCCTCTGTGAGAGGGAGGGGGGAAGTTTCCCCTCATTCACTCTTTGACAGAAATTTTAAAATGTATAGGGAATTTTTTATTTTTTTTGTTACCATTCTTTTTATCCACTATCACTTTTGATTGAACTGATTGCTGAACTAAAGTCAAATACAATCTACATTCTAGCAGCACTATTTTGTTTTCTCTAGGGATTTTTATTATGCCTGTTGTATTTATTACCCTTCACTTGTTTTTGTGCCTTTTGCATCTATCTAACCCAAGTGTCAATTTTCCCTGACGTTGCCCTCCCATTCTTATCCTGGAATTTTTCCTTTAACTTCTTTCACCTATATCCCAAGTTATTGTACTAAAGGAATCAAGCCAAAGAAAGTGGGAGACAGCTTTCTTCACAACCTCTGCAAAATTATTCAGTTGGCCAAAAAGACTACAAAAGAGTAACGTGAGATGCTCCATTCCTTAATCCTCTCAGCTACTACTAGCAAAGGGACAGTATTCTATCCCAGTTATATATTCAAGAAAAAAAAGCCTCTGTATAGCAACATTTTAAAAAAATACAAGTATTTACACATTAGAAAAATCAATGTCAAAGTTACAATTTAAAAAAAAATCTAAAATATTGGAAACTGACAATTTAAGTACCCAAAAAAATCTTAACTCTGCTTTTCTATGCCCACCACCCTGTGCATTCTCTATTGACAGCAGCTTTGACTATGAAAAGCATCCCAGCATAGCAGACAGACTGATGATATGTTAAAACCTGTGGGCAATAAGCTAGCTTTGACTGCCTCAATTTTTTCATGATACACCAGAAACCAGATTTTCAAAACTGATGAGCACATATAATCCAAAAACCAGGCAGCCCCCTTTAAGGTTTCTTAAAGTGGAGACCATTAAGTGGGGCATGCAAAAACACTGGTACTAGCCTAGTAGCTTTTGAAAATGTAGACTCTTCTTTTCAAAAGGATCTCAAGGAAACAGTAAGTGTATTTCACAATATATTTCACTAAAATGCAAATGGCATAACTTAACCTCTGAAATTGAGCCTCATTCTTTCATGAATGGAAGCCTACAGCAAATAATCCTACCTGGCTCAGACGCCACATATTTGGCTTTCAAAGAAATAAAGAACAAAAGGAGTGGGAGAAGTATCCAGAGCTCCTCCTTGAAGTATAATAAAACTTAATTCATGCTACATCATAAACAGGAAAAATCCAATTAATCACACAAAGAAACTTCTGGAAATAATTTAGTACGAGGGTGGACCAACCATCTCAACCCAACTAAACATGCTTTCTTATTCAAAGAAGCATTTTCCATTTTCTACTACTGAAAATTAAAAGGCAGTAAGAGTATCAGGTTATCTGTGCAGAACAAGTGGGGCTGGTGGGTGGGAAGTGAAGGCAGTTGGACATGTAAGTGGACAGGCAATAGTGTGCACTACTTGGGGATAGAAATGTAGGCGGTGAGGCAAGTGGCAGTCAGTGTATGGAAGATTTCAGAGAAGCAGCCGTATTAGTCTGTATTTGCAAAAAGAAAAGGAGTACTTGCGGCACCTTAGAGACTAACAAATTTATTTGAGCATAAGCTTTCGTGAGTTACAGCTCACTTCATCAGATGCATTCAGTGGTATGTCCAAATAAATTGGTTAGTCTCTAAGGTGCCACAAGTACTCCTTTTCTTTTTAGTGTATGGAAGAGTAACCATGGCAAGGCATGAAAGAAAGAACTGTACCAGGCGGAGGAGCAGAAGGGAAGCAATCAAGCTGTGAAACTAGCACTGACTGTACTGACAAGGGAAAGGAGACGAGGCTGTAGGGAAACATCTGTCCCACTCCGCCCCCAACTCGCACACAGAGGCCATGGGGGGGCGACGACACAAGCACTGTCCCACTCTCCCCCCCCCCCCAGTATCAGGGAGATGTAGGTTAGGCGACTTAGGGGCGAGGTCCGTCCCAATCCCCCACACACAATGCCTGTACGGCATGCAAACACCGAGACAGGCCTCTCCCACTGCCCCCCGGACGGTGTCAGTACCGGAATACTGTAGGCGGCCGGAGGGGCGAGGCCTGTCCCACTCCCTCGCAGACACGGACGGGGGAAGAGGTCCTTACCAGGCGGATGAAGCCGAAGCCGCGGTCGCGGTTGATAAAGACCTCGCTGGGCTCCCCGTAGCGCTCGAAGAGGCGCTTGAAGTCCTCCTCGGTGATGTCCGTGGGCAGGTTCCCCACGAAGAGGCGGCAGCGCTGCGTGTAGCTCTTTTCGCCGGGCTTGAGGAAGCTCTTGATGTCGATGGTGAACCCGACCTCCTGCTCCTCGTCGCAAGCCTCTTTGCCCGGCGCCATGGCCCCTACCTCGCTGTCCGCCTCCAGGCCCCGCATCCCCTTCAGGCCGCCGCCCCCCACCATGCCGAGCGGGGCCGCCGGGGAGCTGTTTTCGATCCGCACTTGTTTCAAGTTCCGGCTGTTCGCTGCCATGTTTCGGTCTCTCTCGCGCTCTGAGGGGGTCCCGGAGCCGCCGCAACCACTGACCGCACCACCAGCGAGCGAATTCAAAATGGCGGCAGCGCCAGCCCGAACGAGTTAACGTCTCTGAGGAAAGCCCCTCCCACCAACTGCTCAACCGTTGCGCCTGCGCAGTGACTCCCACTGGCGGGAGAAAGGGGGCGGGGAGACCGTCCGAGGCGAGCGTGTGGAAGCTGGGACTAGGGGTGGGGCAGGTTTGCTTGTGTCACGGGACGCCCCGCTCGCTGCGCTGGGATATTCGTCCTATGGCGCTTTTCAGAGGAGCAGGGGGTTGCCCCTTTAAATCCCCGCCGCACTCTCCTTGGCAGCCAGCCTCTATCGAAGCGGCTGTGGTTGAGTGGCTCTCTCGCTACAGGTTTCAGAGTAGCAGCCGCGTTAGTCTGTATTCGCAAAAAGAAAAGGAGGACTAGTGGCACCTTAGAGACTAACCAATTTATCTGAGCATAAGCTTTCATGAGCTACAGCTCACTTCATCTGCATATGCATCCGATGAAGTGAGCTGTAGCTCACGGAAGCTCATGCTCAGATAAATTGGTTAGTCTCTAAGGTGCCACTAGTCCTCCTTTTCTTTTTGCGAATACAGACTAACACGGCTGCTACTCTAACACCAGTTAGTAAAACAGGTGAGTCTAGATTAGAATCTGTGGTTACCGAGGGCTGGGTTTTAGTACATTATATATTCTCCTGGACCTAGGCCAAAATGCATAGGGATAGGGAAAAGCTGCAGCAGGCTGAAGAGGATGAAGACCATCATCATGCATTTTTGTCTGTCCCCTCTGAAGGTTCAGCTCTGAATGGAAAATGCTGAAGTGACAAGAAGCTCCATGTGCCATGCCAATGACATGTTATGGGATTTTGGTGTATTTCCAAAAATACCTGTGCTGCATGTGAGACAAAGACAGGCAGGGGCAATTGTCAAAACCTTTAACTTGGAAAAATCTGAAGGGATTTTCATGAGGCCAGTAAAGAACTATCTCCATGCCAAAGTTCAAAGTAAAACTGCAAACATTGGAGGTGTTAGAACTCTTTTTTTTTTTTTTAATTGCAATAATTTTTCATTGTAGACAATGTTATAGGTCATTTTTAGTTATTCAGAAAGCAGGGGAGGGATAGCTCAGTGGTTTGAGCATTAGCCTGCTAAAACCAGGGTTGTAAGCTCAATCCTTGAGGGGGCCATTTAGGGATCTGGGGCAAAAATTGGGGATTGGTCCTGCTTTGAGCAGGGGGTTGGACTAGATGATCTTCTGAGGTCCCTTCCAACCCTGATATTCTATGATTACAAGAAAATACCATTATAGTGCCATCTGGTGACTAAATCCAGGATTGTCTCAATAATTTTAATCAAATTACCTGGAAAGAAAAAATAGGAAACCTAGAATAAATTGGTCTATCCTTTGTAGTCTTAGAGAAATAAGATGATGAGGATTTCTAATTTAAAATGTATTAGTGGGCTTCCTTTCTCTGGTCAATTCACTACTAAACGTAATTATACAATGGATGGCTGCTGGGTCTAAATGGAGAGAGTAATCTTCTAAACATACCACCTTTACAAGATGCTCCATCAAACCCAACCGAATGTAGTTATTACAACATTTCTTTGCAGGCCGTCATTAGAATCTGGGAAAAGTGAGGGGGAAAGCCAGTGTCTCTGAATATGCCTTCCCTTTTACTCCTATAAGTAATGCTGATCTTGGTAAAGGAAACAAAGGCTGCCAGAAATTTGATTGTCGGACTCACCAGTTTGAGCTTGAGGAAAGCATCCTAGCTTTTCTAAAGAAATAACTTTGAAAGCTGTATCCCTCACAAACATTGCTAGGTCACAGAATATGTGTTTGGCAATATTTTCCAACTAAAGTACTTTGCCTGTACTCCAGCTTACAAGAAAGATATAATCAGACTCCCAACTAAAATAGAAAGCAGTGTACTAATCCTTCCACTGCGTAATGCAGCAACATCTGAAATATAATATGCACTCAGCTATTTCTTACCAGTCACTTAAACTGTGTTCAAAAATAGGAGATGGACTTGGGCAGGCAGTTTACCCAAACAAACAAATAAGTCATCTGGAACTTTTTGTGCAGCTGTATCCCAGTCAAGCAGGGAAATGTGTGGTACAATCATAGAAATGTAGGGCTGGAAGGACATTGAGAGGTCATCTAGTCCATCCCCCTGCTGAGGCAGGATCAAATATACCTAGACCATCTTTGTCTAGCCTGTTTTTAAAAACCTCCAGTGACTGGGATTCCACAATCACCCTTGGAAGCCTATTTCAGTACTTAACTATCCTTATAGTAAGAATTTTTTTCCTAATATGTAACCTAAATCACCCTTGCTGCACATTAAGCCCATTACTTCTTGTCCTGCCTTCAGTGGACATAGAGAACAATTGCTCACCGTCCTTTTTATAACAGCCCTTAATATATTTGAAGACTGTTGTCAGATCCCCCCTTAATCTTCTTTTCTCAAGACTAAACATACCCAGTTTTTTTAACCCTTCCTCAGGTCATGTTTTCTAAACCTGTTATCATTTTTGTTGCTCTCCTCTTGGCTCTCTCCTATTTCTCCACATCTTTCCTAAAGTGTGGTGTCAAAACTGGACACCATACTCTAGCTAAGGCTTCACCACTGCTGAGCAGAGTGGGACAATTACTAACCATGTCTTACATACAACAATCCTGTTAATATACCCCACATTATGTAAGTCTGTTTCACAACTCATCATATTGTTGGCTCATATTCAATTTGTGTTCCACTATCACCTCCAGATCCTTTTCAGCAGTACTACTGCCTAGCCCGTTATTCCCCATTTTGTATTTGTGCATTTGATTTTTCTTTCCTAAACAAAGTACTTTGCACTTGTCTTTTCTGAATTGCATCTTGTTGATTCTAGATCAATTCTCCAATTTGCCAAGGTCATTTTGAATTCTAATCCTGTCCTCCAAAGTGCTTGCAACCCCACCCAGCCTGGAATCATCCACACATCTTAAAAGCATACTCTCTATTCCATTATCCAAGTCATGAATGAAAAGGTTGAATATTACCAGACCCAGAAGAGACCCCTGCAGGACCTCACTAGATACATCCTCCCAGTTTGACAGTGAACCATTTATAATTACTCTTTGAGTATGTTTTTCTCAACCAGCTGTGCACCAACTATATAGTAATTTCACTAGACCACATTTCCCTAGTCTGCTTATAAGGATGTCATGTAGGATTGTGTCAAAACTCTTACTAAAATCAAGATGTGTCATGTCTATAGCTATAGGCCCATGACCCTGTAAAAGAAGGAAATTAGGTTGGTTTGGCATGACTTCTTGACAAGTCCATGTTGGCTATTACTTATCACGCTGTTATCCTCTAAGTCAGTGGTGGGCAACCTGCGGCCCATTAGGGTAAGCTGATTGCGGGCTGCGAGATGTTTTGTGGACATTGACCATCCGCAGTCGTCCTTGCAGGTCCAGACGTCCTTGCAGCCCGGGTCGCTTCCCGCAGCTCCCATTGGCTGGGATTGGCAAACCGCGGCCATTGGGAGCTGCAGGGGGCCATGCTTGCGGATGGTCAACGTCCGCAAAATGTCTCAAGGCCTGCAGTCAGCTTACCCTGATGGGCCGCAGGTTGCCCACCACTGACTTAGAGGATAATAGGGTGATAAGTAATAGCCAACATGGACTTGTCAAGAAGTCATGCCAAACCAATCTAATTTCCTACGAGCTTGCAAACTGATTGTTGAATAAGAGCCTAGGAGGGGGATCCACAGGACCTGGGGGGGGATCCTTTAGCCCACTAGAAGGTTGCTAGAAGGTCCACTTGATTATTCAGCTTTGACACTTCAGTGTGGTCCTTTTACTTTACACAGGTAAGTTTGTCCCAACCTGTTGGATGCCAGATCCCAGGCATGCTGAAGGTAATTAGCATACTATATGGGTTTTCCGTCTACTGAGTGCATCTGACGCTGACTCCACACAGGCATCCAGTCACTTAGAGCTCAGATCACCCAGTCTGAATCAGAGCAGATGCAAATGTCTTCTTCCTGTTTTTCTTCGCATAGGACAGCCATAACTGCCATTATCTCGGAAGCCTGAGCTGAATATGGCTTGACCATGCCTTGTAGTATCCTTTTCGAGGCTGGCTGTACAGCAGCATAGATTACTGTTGAATAATTTGTTAATGGTTCAGAGATTGCTTCGCCTAGTTCCTTCAATACCTTAGGGTGAATTTTGTCAAGCCCTGACAACTTGAATACCTCTAACTTATATAAACATTCATTAACCTGTTCTTTCTATCTTGTTGTTAATGTTAATTCTGTTAAGCACCTGACCATAATTAACTTTTTTAGTGAAGACTGAAGCAAAATAGGTATGTCAGAATACTCACTGCAATGTATTCTCCCCTTCCACATTAAATGCAACCAAAAGCAGTTATTTTCCTGTATCTGTTTGCCTCTGATATCCAGTCTTCTGGAGCAGAAGAGGAGAAAATCTCTGAGATGGTGATTTCTCAGCCAGTGGCCACAGCAGTCGCTGAGAAAAAAAAGGATGGCTAATGTAGAAAAAAGAAGTCTCTTTCTGGGGCACTCAGTATAGGTATGGCCCCACCAAATTCCTGGTCATGAAAAATGGACCGTGAAATCTGGTCTTTTGTGTGCTTTTAGCCTACACTATACAGATTTCCCAGGGGAGACCAGCGTTTCTCAAATTGGGGGTTCTGACCCAAAAGGGCGTTGCAGGGGGGTGGCCTGGTTATTTTAGGAGGGCTGCAGTACTGCCACACTTACTTCTGCGCTGCCTTCAGAGCTGGATGGCCGGAGAGCAGTGGCTGGTGGCTGGGCGCCCAGCTCTGAAGGCGGCGCCCCCCGAGCAGCAGCACAGAAGTAAAGCTGGCAATACCATACCATGCCACCCTTACTTCTGCACTGCTGCTAGTGGCGGCTCTGCTATTCTCCAGCTGCCCAGCTCTGAAGGCAGTGTCACTGCCAACAGCAGCACAGAAGTAAGGGTAGAAATACCGCAACCCCCCCTTACAATAGCCTTTGCGATTCCCCCCACAACTTCTTTTTGGGTCAGGATCCCT